CCAGAACTCCCTGAAAAGTGCCAGCAGAGCATGCCAGTAAGTGCAAAAATCGAATATTATCAATTTCAGCACTTCAAACGATATTGTCAATGGCTAGAACTGTCCCACTCCTAGAACTCTTTTGTTTCTCCAGATCCGTATCAGAACTACAACGTAACACTCTAATCGAGTCCAGAACTCTTAAAAGCGCAGCAGAGCATGCCAGTAAGTGCAAAAATCTAATATTATCAATTTCAGCACTTCAAACGATATTGTCAATGGCTAGAACTGTCCCACTCCCTAGAACTCTTTGTTTCTCACAGATCCGTATCAGAACTACAACGTAACACTCTAATCGAGTCCAGAACTCCTTAAAAGCGCCAGCAGAGCATGCCAGTAAGTGCAAAAATCTAATATTATCAATTTCAGCACTTCAAACGATATTGTCAATGGCTAGAACTGTCCCACTCCCTAGAACTCTTTTGTTTCTCACAGATCCGTATCAGAACTACACGTAACACTCTAATCGAGTCCAGAATCCCTTAAAAGCGCCAGCAGAGCATGCCAGTAAGTGCAAAAATCGAATATTATCAATTTCAGCACTTCAAACGATATTGTCAAAGGTTACAACTGTCTTACACCCTAGAACTCTTTTGTTTCTCACAGATCCGTAACAGAACTACAACTTAACACTCTAATCACGTCCAGAACTCCCTGAAAAGCGCCAGCAGAGCATGCCAGTAAGTGCAAAAATCGAATATTATAAATTTCAGCACTTCAAACGATATTGTCAATGGCTAGAACTGTCCACTCCCTAGAACTTTTGTTTCTCACAGATCCGTATCAGAACTACAACGTAACACTCTAATCGAGTCCAGAACTCCCTTAAAAGCGCCAGCAGAGCATGCCAGTAAGTGCAAAAATCTAATATTATCAATTTCAGCACTTCAAACGATATTGTCAATGGCTAGAACTGTCCCACTCCCTAGAACTCTTTTGTTTCTCACAGATCCGTATCAGAACAACTTAACACTCTAATCGAGTCCAGAACTCCCTTAAAGTGCCAGCAGAGCATGCCAGTAAGTGCAAAAATCGAATATTATCAATTTCAGCACTTCAAACGATATTGTCAATGGCTAGAACTGTCCCACTCCTAGAACTCTTTTGTTTCTCACAGATCCGTATCAGAACTACAACGTAACACTCTAATCGAGTCCAGAACCCCTTAAAGCGCAGCAGAGCATGCCAGTAAGTGCAAAAATCGAATATTATCAATTTCAGCACTTCAAACGATATTGTCAAAGGTTACAACTGTCTTACACCCTAGAACTCTTTTGTTTCTCACAGTTCCGTATCAGAACTACAACTTAACACTCTAATCCGTCAGAACTCCCTGAAAAGCGCCAGCAGAGCATGCAGTAAGTGCAAAAATCGAATATTATCAATTTCAGCACTTCAAACGATATTGTCAATGGCTAGAACTGTCCCACTCCCTAGAACTCTTTTGTTTCTCAAATCTGTATCAGAACTACAACGTAACACTCTAATCAAGTCCAGAACTCCCTTTAAAAGTGCCAGCAGAGCATGCCAGTAAGTGCAAAAATCGAATATTATCAATTTCAGCACTTCAAACGATATTGTCAATGGCTAGAACTGTCCACTCCCTAGAACTCTTTTGTTTCTCACAGATCTGTATCAGAACTACAACGTAACACTCTAATCAAGTCCAGAACTCCCTTAAAAGCGCCAGCAGAGCATGCCAGTAAGTGCAAAAATCGAATATTATCAATTTCAGCACTTCAAACGATATTGTCAATGGCAACTGTCACTCCCTAGAACTCTTTTGTTTCTCACAGATCCGTATCAGAACTACAACGTAACATCTAATCGAGTCCAGAACTCCCTTAAAAGCGCCAGCAGAGCATGCCAGTAAGTGCAAAAATCGAATATTATCAATTTCAGCACTTCAAACGATATTGTCAATGGTACAACTGTCTACCCTAGAACTCTTTTGTTTCTCACAGATCCGTATCAGAACTACAACGTAACACTCTAATCAAGTCCAGAACTCCCTTAAAAGTGCCAGCAGAGCATGCCAGTAAGTGCAAAAATCGAATATTATCAATTTCAGCACTTCAAACGATATTGTCAATGGCTAGAACTGTCCCACTCCCTAGAACTCTTTTGTTTCTCACAGATCCGTATCAGAACTACAACGTAACACTCTAATCGAGTCCAGAACTCCCTTAAAAGCGCCAGCAGAGCATGCCAGTAAGTGCAAAAATCGAATATTATCAATTTCAGCACTTCAAACGATATTGTCAATGACTAGAACTGTCCCACTCCCTAGAACTCTTTTGTTTCTCACAGATGTATCAGAACTACAACGTAACACTCTAATCAAGTCCAGAACTCCCTTAAAAGTGCCAGCAGAGCATGCCAGTAAGTGCAAAAATCGAATATTATCAATTTCAGCACTTCAAACGATATTGTCAATGGCTAGAACTGTCCCACTCCCTAGAACTCTTTTGTTTCTCACAGATCCGTATCAGAACTACAACGTAACACTCTAATCGAGTCCAGAACTCCCTTAAAAGCGCCAGCAGAGCATGCCAGTAAGTGCAAAAATCGAATATTATCAATTTCAGCACTTCAAACGATATTGTCAAGGTTACAACTGTCCACTCCCTAGAACTCTTTTGTTTCTCACAGATCCGTATCAGAACTACAACGTAACACTCTAATCAAGTCCAGAACTCCCTTAAAAGTGCCAGAGCATGCCAGTAAGTGCAAAAATCGAATATTATCAATTTCAGCACTTCAAACGATATTGTCAATGGCTAGAACTGTCCCACTCCCTAGAACTCTTTTGTTTCTCACAGATCCGTATCAGAACTACAACGTAACACTCTAATCGAGTCCAGAACTCCCTTAAAAGCGCCAGCAGAGCATGCCAGTAAGTGCAAAAATCGAATATTATCAATTTCAGCACTTCAAACGATTGTCAAAGGTTACAACTGTCACTCCTAGAACTCTTTTGTTTCTCACAGATCCGTATCAGAACTACAACGTAACACTCTAATCGAGTCCAGAACTCCCTTAAAAGTGCCAGCAGAGCATGCCAGTAAGTGCAAAAATCGAATATTATCAATTTCAGCACTTCAAACGATATTGTCAATGACTAGAACGGTCCCACTCCCTAGAACTCTTTTGTTTCTCACAGATCTGTATCAGAACTACAACGTAACACTCTAATCAAGTCCAGAACTCCCTTAAAAGTGCCAGCAGAGCATGCCAGTAAGTGCAAAAATCGAATATTATCAATTTCAGCACTTCAAACGATATTGTCAATGGCTAGAACTGTCCCACTCCCTAGAACTCTTTTGTTTCTCACAGATCCGTATCAGAACTACAACGTAACACTCTAATCAAGTCCAGAACTCCCTTAAAAGTGCCAGCAGAGCATGCCAGTAAGTGCAAAAATCGAATATTATCAATTTCAGCACTTCAAACGATATTGTAAAGGGCCACAACTCTTCAAACCCCTGGAACTCTTTTGTTTCTCATAGATCCGGATAAGTACTATCATTTAAAACTCTAATCGAGTCCAGAACTCCCTTAAAAGCGCCAGCAGAGCATGCCAGTAAGTGCAATTTCAGCACTTCAAATGACATTGTAAAGGGCCACAACTCTTCAAACCCCTGGAACTCCTCCTGGAATACCGTTGAGGAGTTCCCTTGACAATTACACTTCTTCATCATCAGACCCTTAGTGACAGCCCCACTATATCTAGGTGTAAAGTCCTCATCAATACAAATTAATCAAGCCTAAACACAAGGTAGTTACGAAATAAGCATATCCGTGAATGATGCCAATTACAGCGTCGAAAAGTGTACAGACCAGTCCACCGTTAAGTTAACCAGTTTGACCTCTATGAAGGTAAACCTGGTGATTTCGCAGGAGAAATGGGAAAGCATAAAACCCCACAAGAAATTATATGGTAATCGCGTGTATTGGAAGTTACGAGAAGGGTGGGCAGATGTGGTCGCTGAAGCTTTGTGGGTGCAGCATCATTTAGACTGTGTATTCACGTTCAAAAATCACAACGTATACCGAAGTTTAATTTCAAAATTTTTTTTAACTGTTGAAGGGTATTGCTTTGAATGTCATGCAAAGATATGGTGCACATTGATAAAAGAGCCACCGAAAGGAGTCGATGTTATACTCCAATGCAACATCGATGGTATTAGACCCGAATCCCATTCAGGAAAGAAAAGAAGGCAGTTGAGAGGAGCTCGTCGCCTTAAAGTTGCAGACTATCTCATCGATGGCTGTAAAGATGCGGTGACATGGCGACGAAAAGAAGCTGGACGGATAAAGAAATTCGGAGGTAAAAATCCACCGATTTTACCGAGCAATGAAGTCGTGCGCAAAGCCAAGGAACAGCGATTGTTGAATAAATATGGATTAAAATTCGGAAACCCTGCATTAAATTTATTGAACAGCGCTGAACACGGTAAGTCGGTAGGTTTTGTTTCTCATAGATCCGGATAAGTACTATCATTTAAAACTCTGATCTATCAGAACTATAGATTGCTACATCTTCTATAGATAGATATATCAGTGCTACAGATTCGTATTAAATCTACTATCATTTAAGTGAACTCGTTACATGTCCAGAGCGGTAGAACAGCTTATCAGCTATTCCATGATCTGCTGGGATTTGTTCAAATCTCAATCTCGGCGCTACCCAAAGCCAACGACGGGGACGTGTTGAGAACTGGCTTCGTTATTTTGTTTTATTTTTTGTTTTTTTTTTATTTTGTATTTTTGGGTTTTTTGTTTTTTTTGTTGTTGTTTTGTGTTATTTTGTTTTTTTTTTGGGTTTATTGTTTTTTTTATTATTCTTTCAAATATTTTTTTTTTATTTAACCTCAGACGCAAAAGGAGGAGATAATAAGTTTGTATTAAAGACGATTTTTATACAAAAATTTAAATTATATTATTATTGTCTTAACTACTTAACATTCACTGCATATTGCGTAAACAATGAGATGCGGAGTTATAATAGTATTTAGATTTGCTGATGCGCGCTTTTTGATGAGGCCGTCATATTTGAACCAAAATTCGCCCGTTAAGCCATACGTAGCATAATGTTTTTGGTCTAAATTGTAATGAACAACAGCAGCTAGCATATATGTCATTCCACCGACTTCTATGATTTTTTTTATAGAATCCAACCTGGGAACAACTATGTTGTTGCGATTGGGATAGCCAGGATCACTGAATACGGTAGTGTCGACTACCAGGTGTGACCCATATTTATATACGCAACGTATTTTTCTTTTACAGTTGAAGCAAGATCTCTCCATTGTTATACAATCTTCGATTGCTTGCTGCATTAAATGCAGGCCGCGACACAGTATGGTATCAACATTAACATTTATGAATATAGACTTTTGCTGGTTACTATATCCGCACGAACATTCGACGCTAGACGTATAGCTTGGTTCTTTTTCAAAGAGATATTGCGCTAGATGAGCAGCATTGCACTCGACATCTAAACGCACTATATTTCTCGTATAGGCCGTGACTTTGTCTTGAAAGATGGAAATACATGTCAATATTTTTGCACGTTGGACATAATGTTCTCGCAATATCTTCTTTTTATCGTTGACACTTTGTGCTAGATTGACGATAGGACAGTCTGATGATTTTAACCTCTCGGAGTAAACTGTATTTGCCAACAGCCCGCTGAGAACAACCTGAAAAATTGAATCGAAAGCACAGGTTGAAGTAACATTCAAATTTTGATTATTTAAACGCACTGATCCTGTGATATTTCCGTTCAAAAGAACCGGCGCATGGGCAGTTTTTGAGTGTTTTATGAAATCCCACTCAGGGCAGTTATCCAAACATGTCGGCCTCGTTCGTTTTTTGACCATAGACTCATCAGTTTCATTTTTCCGTTTCAGGTTCTTATTCAATCCTCGCCAGTCCTCACAAACGTTCCAATCGTTATCAGATAAATTTTGTTCGATCCTGGAAAACTGGGTCGTTTCGTGCTCCGCATCCTTGATGATCTTTGAAGAATGGGCTATAGGGATGATATTTTCCACTTTTAACTCGGGACTAGGTATTCTGGACAGGATGGAGGAGATTGAGATGTTTGGAGTGCTGCATACGTTATAGCCAGTCACGTCAAACGAGGTATTGTCAATTTCAATGCTGCTTAACGGCTCTTCAGCTTGGATGGATTGAGCTCCTATAGATTTATTGAGGTCGGCATTATCCAGGGCTGTTGATAATTTATCTTGGCTTTGTAGTAAAAAATCCGTTGTCTTGCAGCGTTCCTTTATTTTATCGTCGATTCGCTCGAGATGTTGTATGACGAATCTGTCAATGCGCATCGGAATTTCGCCCCTAAACTCACGGTTTTTCAAGTCTGCAAATTCGGATTCTACTGCGGCGGAGGTAGCGGTTAGCGAACCTCTACCGAAAATAGGCACCATGATTGCGGTCCACAGTGGTACGTATGGAAGAAGTTGTGTTTTCAGCCTTTTAGCGAAATCGCTACTGTAACATGCATTAATCAAGTCACCTTTCGATGACTGATCAGCGATTTCAACTGCGGATTCGTACAATGTATTACACCATGATTTCCAGCCAGGTTTGTGCATGCCTTCGTTGACCAGATTTTGTTCCGGATTTGAATCCGGTGCCTCGTCAGTATTATCACCACCTTCTTGGTCGCTTTGCACTGTAGCTTCGTCGTCATCGTACACCGTTTCTAGCCCTTTTATTTTATTGTTCAAGAAACGGAGACGATCAACCGACGGTAACAGTTCGCCATCTGGTCCGGACCCAATAAATTTACTGAGCGCAACGACGAGAACCGATTCTAGAAAGTAATATAAATCTTCTAGATTCGAAATTTGGCAAGCTTTGCCAATGCATCGTTTATAAAATCGTCGTACTAAAGACTTATCTTTCCCTTTCAAACAGGGCCATCGCGTAATCATTGATGCTAGATGACATACGTCTAATCGCATGAATGTTGGTGGTAGCGATGTTGCCTCATTTCTAATAGCATCATAGCACTTCTGCAAATAGTCATTCAAGCTTGCGCATTGCCCAAATATTCGCGCTACCGCAATCAATAAAGACCACCCAAAATCGGTCACAACAATCGGCGGGATGGGAGCATTTGCAGCGAGAATGTGGCTCAAAAAACCAGCGACGATAATCGATCTTTGATCGGCTGAAACCATCTGAAAAGTTGGCACGCTACCGTCTTTCGTCACAAGCACACACTGATATAAAAATATGTGCGGCTTCTCCGACTTATCGCGCTTAGCAATACCACCCGTAGCATCAATTGCTAACGTTGCGTTAGGATCATTTCGGCAACGAGAGATATATATTTGGAGTTGTTCAGGTAGCCAATACATACAGTTGAAGCGATACACCCCGACGGATTGAATAGAACCTACCAACTTACCGTGTTCAGCGCTGTTCAATAAATTTAATGCAGGGTTTCCGAATTTTAATCCGTATTTATTTAACAATCGCTGTTCTTTGGCTTTTCGCACGACTTCATTGCTCGGTAAAATCGGTGGATTTTTACCTCCGAATTTCTTTATCCGTCCAGCTTCTTTTCGTCGCCATGTCACCGCATCTTTACAGCCATCGATGAGATAGTCTGCAACTTTAAGGCGACGAGCTCCTCTCAACTGCCTTCTTTTCTTTCCTGAATGGGATTCGGGTCTAATACCATCGATGCTGCATTGGAGTATAACATCGACTCCTTTCGGTGGCTCTTTTATCAATGTGCACCATATCTTTGCATGACATTCGCAGCAATACCCTTCAATAGTTAAAAAAAATTTTGAAATTAAAGTTCGGTACACGTTGTGATTTTTGAACGTGAATACACAGTCTAAATGATGCTGCACCCACAAAGCTTCAGCGACCACATCTGCCCACCCTTCTCGTAACTTCCAATACACGCGATTACCATATAATTTCTTGTGGGGTTTTATGCTTTCCCATTTCTCCTGCGAAATCACCAGGTTTACCTTCATAGAGGTCAAACTGGTTAACTTAACGGTGGACTGGTCTGTACACTTTTCGACGCTGTAATTGGCATCATTCACGGAAATGCTTATTTCTCTCTCTCGAATGCCGAAAATTTCCATGATTAAATCTCGAAACCCAGCACGGTTGTTGTTGATGATGGTATGGACATGCTTAGGTGTAATATCCGACCCTTTATCCGCCATCAGTTTTGAAATTTTTCGGTATACCTCATGGGAAGGGGGAGAACACGCCCGTCATCGTTAATCGTACGATATTCAGCATCTGATATAATTTCCCGCAAAGCAATTTTATCGTACGCTAACTTGCTCGGCATTTTATATCAAATGAGTTTCCACTTACCCTCTACTAAATAATGAATACTTGAAAGATTTCGAAAATAAACTTTATTAACAAAAAAAATATTAAAACATCAACGGAGGGTCATTAGTCGGCGGAAAATCTTAACACCGCGATTCAGAAATGGGACTTAAACTAACAACGCCATCTAGTATTCAATATCGGAAGTAGATTTACTTAAATTTTTTACCGATTTCAGGAGGAGGTACTTTGTTCGTCTGATTGTTTTTTTTTGTTTGTTCACGCATTACTCGGCCATTTGAGAACTGGTTTCCAAAATTCTTGTTTTGTTTGAAAGGGTATACTCCCGAAATGGTACCATTTTCATGAGGTCAGGATCTGAAGGTTGAATCCTAGGGAAACCGAGGGAAACTTTCGAAAATTCTAGGGGCCAGTAATGCGTCTATTATGTTTTTCAATTATAATTTTTAAACGCTACAATTTGATAAGGTTCTGGAGTCGTACCTGATGATGGAGCCGACAGACAGTCGAGAGAACTCCTCAGCGGTTTATATTAACTACCTTGTGTTTGGGCTTGATTAATTTGTATTGATGAGGACTTTACACCTAGATAGAGTGGGGCTGTCATTGAGGGTCTGATGATGAAGAAGTGTAATTGTCAAGGGAACTCCTCAAAGGTATACAGTAACTACCTTGTGTTTAGGCTTGATTAATTTGTATTGATGAGGACTTTACCCCTAGATAGAGTGGGGCTGTCATTGAGGGTCTGATGATGAAGAAGTGTAATTGTTAAGGGAACTCCTCAACGGTATACAGTAACTACCTTGTGTTTAGGCTTGATTAATTTGTATTGATGAGGACTTTACACCTAGATATAGTGGGGCTGTCATTAAGGGTCTGATGATGAAGAAGTGTAATTGTCAAGGGAACTCCTCAACGGTATACAGTACCTACCTTGTGTTTAGGCTTGATTAATTTGTATTGATGAGGACTTTACACCTAGATAGAGTGGGGCTGTCATTGAGGGTCTGATGATGAAGAAGTGTAATTGTCAAGGGAACTCCTCAAAGGTATACAGTAACTACCTTGTGTTTAGGCTTGATTAATTTGTATTGATGAGGACTTTACCCCTAGATAGAGTGGGGCTGTCATTGAGGGTCTGATGATGAAGAAGTGTAATTGTTAAGGGAACTCCTCAACGGTATACAGTAACTACCTTGTGTTTAGGCTTGATTAATTTGTATTGATGAGGACTTTACACCTAGATATAGTGGGGCTGTCATTAAGGGTCTGATGATGAAGAAGTGTAATTGTCAAGGGAACTCCTCAACGGTATACAGTACCTACCTTGTGTTTAGGCTTGATTAATTTGTATTGATGAGGACTTTACCCCTAGATAGAGTGGGGCTGTCATTGAGGGTCTGATGATGAAGAAGTGTAATTGTCAAGGGAACTCCTCAACGGTATACAGTACCTACCTTGTGTTTAGGCTTGATAAATTTGTATTGATGAGGACTTTACCCCTAGATAGAGTGGGGCTGTCATTGAGGGTCTGATGATGAAGAAGTGTAATTGTTAAGGGAACTCCTCAACGGTATACAGTAACTACCTCGTGTTTGGGCTTGTATAATTTGTATTGATGAGAACTTTGCACCTATGCAGATTATAAGTGACAAAACGAATCTATGTAGCTTTACACTGAAAATCATAAAAAAAAAATAAAAACTGCATTTAAAAAACCGACTTCGAAAAACCAAAAACTTATAACAAACAAAATGTCAAAACTAAAATGAAAAATATAACTATCATTAGTACTGATAGGTTACCCAACCACTGAGGTTAAAAGTCGATGCCATAGTTATTGTTAGTATTACCAGTTAGATATATAGTTATTATTTCTTTTAAGTTTCGACTTTTTGTTTGTTATTAGTTTTTGGTTTTTTGATTAAAAGTAAAAGTAAAGTAGAAGTATACGGTTTTTTATATAATAACAAATAAAAGAAGTTTAAATTTAATTTCAAATTGTATTTAAAACGTGCTGTGTAACGTGTTAAGTTGTTGTGTATTTGTTGTGTAATTAAAACTACTATAATTATATAATTATATCTAATTTTATTATTATAACATTATTTGTACGTACATAACAAATAAACTTATCTTATTTACTTCTAATTATTTACTAATTATTACATATATAATAATAAAAATAACAGTAACAATTTTATTTTTATACAACAACTTAACACTTACACAGCACGTTTGAAATACAATTTGAAATGAAATATAAACTTCTTTTATTTGTTATTAGGTATATAACAAACCGTATACTTCTACTTTATTTTTTCTTTTAAAAATTAAATAAATTCCAAGTTAATTCGTTGAGTACCGCATTATAGACACAATTAAAGAACAATAGGTTGCGGTCACCGGTGACCGCTCGTTGTTTGACAGTTTAACTCGTCGAGTACCGTATTTATAGACACAATTAAAGAACAATAGGTAGCGGTCACCGGTGACCGCTTGGTGTTTGACAGTTTAATCTAGTTCCGATGTTGAATACTAGATAGCGTAGTTAGTTTTTTTAAGGGGGGAAAATCATCGAATTACTGCTTCCGCCTGAGTGAGGCGGGAGGAAGTGTCAGACTCTTACTGACTAAAAACCACCCCGTTCCTTCTCCTGCACGTCGAGCCGGAGCCCCGGTAACCCATTACGTTCTCCGTGACTCCGAATCGGCATCAGACATCATCATTATTTTCGAAATATATCTAGCATACATTATTTTGTAGAAGGTAAGTGGAAGCTCATCTATACTAATATTATAAAGCTGAAGAGTTTGTTTTTTATTTGTTTGTTTAAACGCGCTAATCTCCGAAACAACTGATTCGTTTTAAATATTTTTTTTGTGTTGAATAGTCAATTTATTGAGGAAGGCTATAGGCTATAGATAAAACATCACGCTACGACCAATAGGAGCTGAGCAGAGCAAGTTAGCGTACGATAAAATTGCTTTGCGGGAAATTATATTAGATACTGAATACCGTACGATTAACGATGACGGGCGTGTTCTCCCACCTTCCCATGAGGTATACCGAAAAATTTCAAAACTGATGGCGGATAAAGGGTCGGATATTACACCTAAGCATGTCCATACCATCATCAACAACAACCGTGCTGGGTTTCGAGATTTAATCATGGAAATTTTCGGCATTCGAGAGAGAGAAATAAGCATTTCCGTGAATGATGCCAATTACAGCGTCGAAAAGTGTACAGACCAGTCCACCGTTAAGTTAACCAGTTTGACCTCTATGAAGGTAAACCTGGTGATTTCGCAGGAGAAATGCATAAAACCCCACAAGAAATTATATGGTAATCGCGTGTATTGGAAGTTACGAGAAGGGTGGGCAGATGTGGTCGCTGAAGCTTTGTCGCATGCTATGCTGGCACTTTTAAGGGAGTTCTGGACTTGATTAGAGTGTTACGTTGTAGTTCTGATACGGATCTGTAAGAAACAAAAGAGTTCTAGGGAGTGGACAGTTCTAGCCATTGACAATATCGTTTGAAGTGCTGAAATTGATAATATTCGATTTTTGCACTTACTGGCATGCTCTGCTGGCCTTTTAAGGGAGTTCTGGACTCGATTAGAGTGTTAATGTAGTTACTGATACCATCTGTGAAAACAAGAGCTAGGGTGACAGAGTTGCCCTTGACAATATCGTTTGAAGTGCTGAAATTGATAATATTCGATTTTTGCACTTACTGGCATGCTCTGCTGGCACTTTTAAGGGAGTTCTGGACTCGATTAGAGTTTTAAATGATAGTACTTATCCGGATCTATGAAAAACAAAAGAGTTCCAGGGGTTTGAAGAGTTGTGGCCCTTTACAATATTATTTGAAGTGCTTAAATTGATAATATTCGATTTTTGCACTTACTGGCATGCTCTGCTGGCGCTTTTCAGGGAGTTCTGGACTTGATTAGAATGTTACGTTAGTTCTGATACGGATCTGTGAGAAACAAAAGAGTTCTAGGGTGTGACAGTTCTAGCCATTGACAATATCGTTTGAAGTGCTGAAATTGATAATATTCGATTTTTGCACTTACTGGCATGCTCTGCTGGCGCTTTTAAGGGAGTTCTGGACTCGATTAGAGTGTTACGTTGTAGTTCTGATACGGATCTGTGAGAAACAAAAGAGTTCTAGGGAGTGGGACAGTTCTAGCCATTGACAATATCGTTTGAAGTGCTGAAATTGATAATATTCGATTTTTGCACTTACTGGCATGCTCTGCTGGCGCTTTTAAGGGAGTTCTGGACTCGATTAGAGTGTTACGTTGTGGTTCTGATACGGATCTGTGAGAAACAAAAGAGTTCTAGGGAGTGGGACAGTTCTAGCCATTGACAATATCGTTTGAAGTGCTGAAATTGATAATATTCGATTTTTGCACTTACTGGCATGCTCTGCTGGCACTTTTAAGGGAGTTCTGGACTCGATTAGAGTGTTAAGTTGTAGTTCTGATACGGATTGTGAGAAACAAAAGAGTTCTAGGGAGTGGGACAGTTCTAGCATTGACAATATCGTTTGAAGTGCTGAAATTGATAATATTGATTTTTGCACTTACTGGCATGCTCTGCTGGCACTTTTAGGGAGTTCTGGACTCGATTAGAGTGTTAAGTTGTAGTTCTTATCGGATCTGTGAAAAACAAAAGAGTTTAGGGTGAAGTTCTGCCCTTGACAATATTTTGAAGTGCTGAAATTGATAATATTCGATTTTTGCACTTACTGGCATGCTCTGCTGGCACTTTTAAGGGAGTTCTGGACTCGATTAGAGTGTTAAGTTGTAGTTCTGATACGGATCTGTGAGAAACAAAAGAGTTCTAGGGAGTGGGA